TGGACTGTAATGATGATTTTGTTCTTACTAAAAACTATAAATACCTGACAATTTTGTACTATAATTGACACTGTCTGGGAATATTATTCCTTTCATTAGTCTCCTGTCTTCTCATTGCGACTTGGAAGGGTTCTGGAGTTCTAGTGCTCACGTTATACGCGGTATATCAAGAAAAACCTTCTAGATATAACAGTAATAAGCTTCATTTTTAATACAGAAGATGAGTATAGTTATTAATGTCAAGCTTGATTATATTCAGAAATACTCATGTTTTATTCAGATAGGAGATGTGAAATGAATATATAATTCGAAATATTATTCTTTCCTAGAAATATCATTAATTTGAGTATACCATTGCAAAAACACAAAACATTATATGGAATTGTGACTGAAAAGCTAAGCATTAAAAGTGATGGATTCCTATTTTGGAACAAAAATATACGAGTCTTCGAATGATAAAAAAATTTATGCCCTCTGATATTAAGCTGTTCAAACTATGAGTAGTGATTTTAATGAATAATTTATGAAGACCAGCCGAAAACCATAGAGTGATTAATGGGATAATATCAAGAAGATGAGAGATAGAAATTCCACAATACTTACAAAAAAGATTCATAGAATTCATACATTAGTATGCAATTTGACACAACAGTTATATGTATCAAGTCTAAAAATGTAGCATATCAAATCAACTCCTGGTCATATTATCCCACAACATTCTTTTGTATGTATGATAATAGCTAGCACTACCTGAGATAATACCTCTTAAGCTGAGGGATGAAAATTAAGAAGGTCAGACCGAAAGATCATATACTGAACATTCAAGGGTGAGTTTCCAAACAAATAATATTTCATGATGGAATAATTCTTCAGTGAACATGTTTCAAGTATCTCAGTAACAATGATTTAATGGTAGTTTGAATAGCTTCATCTGCAACACTGCTCTACAATAACATCTGTTTGAAGAATCACCAAATAAATAAACTGAATATCCATAAATAAGTATATCCACATACGTCACATCATCAAAATTCGGTAACAAAATGTAACACTCAAACATGATTCTGCAACTTGGGAAATGCTTCAGCTGGGAAAACATCTCTCTACATTTTTCGCTTTGCATCAAATAGACGACAAAGGAAACATAAAGAAGCTTTTAGGTATCAACAGTAGATCAGTAATAAAATTACAACTATGATCGCACTACTATGTTCACAATCGCTTAATTGATTTAGGCCCGGAACTGAAACATCGAAACTGACTTTGTGTCCTGAGAACACAAACACTGCTGATATGGATCTCCACAAAACCTCTTCTGATATAAATTCATATGCAAATACATATGTGAAGTATCCTGCTGAGCTGCTTCCACGCAGACTAAATTTTACTCTTTTGAAAATGTCATTTCAAATAACCATTGGATTAGAAATAGAAACTGACTTAACATCACAAAGTCGCAAATAAATATTACTGGGGACAATTTCTAATCTCTTTTATCTTATCTCGGTGATGTAATTCAAATACACCGATTTTCCATTAACCACCTGTATATTAACACTCATTAAAATAACTTTCTTAAGATAGAGATTACTTTGACTTTTAACCATTCATTCTTTCATAACATCACTAACATATATTTCAAATTCTCTGAATTACTGAATAATGAATAAGCAAAGAAACATGTAACATTGATCAACTGCACGCAATAATCCTTTATATTAAATAAAACAAGTTTAGTTATCCTCTCTTACATCGTATTTCTATCAACAATAAACATGGATAAATAAATTCATGTTATATATATATATATATATATATATATATATATATATATACAGACCACTATTGATCACAAACTTATTTATCATACATCATATACATGTATAATTGGGTTCATACACATTAAACTAACAAGAAATATTGCCAAAATGAGGGCGAAGTCTCACTCTAGTTCTCTTTACTCAAATAAAACAATAATTAAGAACAAATAGATAACAATTGTCAATTAAGCATGTAAACAAATAGTTAGTGTTGAACAAATTTACAATAACATATTATTCAAACAATTCATACACATGAACCATTGATAATCACTCCCCTCATATTCAACCTCACTTCTTCCATTCGCTATATTTAAACAACTTTAGACAAACAAATAAATGTGATGTAAAAATATGTTTCTGTGTGGTAAACGATGTTTTGGATATTTATGGAGTAAATACATTTAGTAAACTCATCAAGTAGTTAACAAATATATTAGTCAATAATCCTAATAACAATTGAAATTTGAATAAATGTTCAGTTTATTAGATGAAGTCTAGTGAGAGTATAAAGAATGAGATTATTCTATTTATATGTTGAACACACTTGGATCAGATCGATTAATCCTCTTTTGGTAGTATCAATAAATAAATTGGTCGATAATCACATAAAGACTACTGATATGGCTGTAAATAATGAGGAATAAATATGGCATTCTGTGGATCTCATTCAGAAATGTAACACCGAAACAGTTCCTGATCGATCGAATAACAGATCTCGGTGAAATGCTTTCCGATTGTATTGTATTATTACAATCTGATCAATATTGAATATTAAACACAAAAATAGAGCATGAATACCTATTTAATACATTTTTACTCTCAGTTAAGCAATATTCAATGTTTCAACACTGCTAAGTTTAAATTATACAAATCTGATTGTTACCCTAACTGTAAATATAATCATGAGTTAGTAGATTCACGTATCAATTTGATTTATTTCTAAAGTTAAATAAATCCATATCAGCAGTGGTTGTGTTCTCACTACGCATTGCAAGAAAATATTCAGTATAAACAGCTGTGTTTTGTTCTCTGAGTTAGATAGTTTGGTCGTGGAGCTTCCGATACACGTGAGTCTCCAGTTTTCCTGTGTTGGTTCTAGTGATTAGTATATCCAAGAATGATAGTTCATTGTTCGACTTCTGTCCGATTGTGAACTTTATGTCATCGAAGTTGTTAGTCAGATTATAGGTGTTTTCTAGCTCATCTTTTTGACATTGACAAATATGTCGTTCACATAACAAATCCTAATTTTTGGTTTGATCGCTGGTAAGATTCAGGCTTCCAGTCTCTGTATCATTGTTGAGATCTTGGATAGATGGAATACTAAAAACACCAGAGAATTTTAAGGAACTTCAGACTCAGGTCGATCAGTGATCAATAAACATATTAAAATCGATCTAATTTATCAACCAATCAGAAAAATCATGGACAAATATAGGACCAAGAATCAAATCAACGGGGGATACAATCAAAATAAAGAAATGAACAATGACAGCTTACAGGTCAACAAAGCCAATCAAGATCGGGTTTCACAGGACAAACTGTGAGTCATATGTGGAGGAATTCGAACACTTCACTCCTATCTGAATTGTGCTGACGATGTCGTTCAGAAGAACAAAAAAAGCTCCACGACCAAACCATTCTAGCTCAGAGAACAAAACTCCACCAAAATCACTCATCTGAGTTACAAATCTTCTACATCATCTCAGAACAGCTGTGTATTATTTCCTGGATATTTTAAGATTGTAAGGAATCTTGTTTTTATAAAGCAGAAATGACATTTGGAAACATTAGTCTTTTCATTTCTTTCTGTGTATATTTTACTATATAGGTTACATAAACCATTTTACTTTAATATGGTTCATTATTTCTGTTGTGAAATATTTTTGATTTATGTAAACTCTCTGCTCACTGGCTATAATATCCCTTTAGAATCAAAAGTGAATTTAACTTCGTTGTTGACTCGTCTGTATACTATAGTCGCAGGGGATTTTTCACATTGTAAATATGATCGTTTTATATTAAAATAGCTAAAAGAAATTTGTTTAATGCGATTAAATCTACATTTAGGAGAATTTAAACGTGAAACAATTATTTCTTGAATTTTTAACTCAGTATTGCTTAATATTTCTTTGAACTTGAACTTAATTCATAATGTTCATACTAATAAAATCAATCTTATTTGATTGAACAGTAGAAAACTCATAAATTGATGATCAAATTAAGTCAAGATATAAGTCCATACATAACGTTTATACTTATTTGTGGACTAGCTTTACCTTAACTAATATATATATATATATATATATAGATTATAATCTAAAAATTTTAATTGTACTTTTCTGATTCTGATATTAACTGTGTTGGAAATGTTCATTTTGTACCATTTATTTAGAAAGTTAGAGTTTAGTACAATACTAAGGCTACTACGTAAATTACGGAAAGATTTATAGCTTTGCCTTGAAAGAAACTCATCTTTCAGTTTATCTTGGTTCTTGAGACTCGATTTATGACATGTGTATGATAATCAACTTTGACAAAAACTGTCGATTCTATCTGTTCTCATGCAAAGCAATTTACTTTCACCAATACAGTAAAATACTATGCGTTATCAGTCATAACACTGAATCATTCTAGTAAGGAGTATACAGAACATAACACTTGTTGAGACACTGTCACTCTAACAGACCAGTGAAGTTCTTGACGCTCTCATTTTATTATTAGTTAATCTTAAATATCAGTATGAGAATTTGTGGAGGTTGTAGTATTTTCGCAATTGAAACTACGAGCTGATCTAGGGTAGACCACTATTGAAAAGCTGGAAGCACTAGACGGCAATGGATGAAGGGTTCCACAGGACCATGGTTCGATTGGAGCTAGATATCAACACTATTGGATAACGAGCCAGTAGTCTAGAGGTTAAGCGTTTGTACGCGAGACCGAAGGTCCTTGGTCCGAGTCCCACGTGTGGATCGTGTAGTTTTGATCTAACGAATTTTTCGTTGAATTGGACAGAAAAAATGTAAAGTAATGTGGAGACCAAAGCGCCTGTCATAAAACATTTCCATAAGAGCTAGTGTAATTAACTAACATGAAATGTTTTGTACGACTTAAGAAATTTTGTGAAACCTCATGTTACAACACAATTTGTTGGTCCGAAACCTACATACACCATTTACTCCTAAGCTATATATTTATGATAGTCCCATGTAACAGTCATTAATTTGGTACACAATATGAAATACACCAAACAGCTGAATCATTGGGTTTTTTCAACAAAAAGTATTACACTAGCACAACCACAGTTAAAAAAACACAAATAGTAGGGCAAAGCAAGATAAGTGGAAATATAGAGCAAAGATAAATAACAAAACAAAAAATTAAAAACTATTATTCCAAAATAAAAATACTGATGATAGAACACATCGTAAATAAAGCTGAAAAAGGATAGAACATATAGATACATACTTTGAGAATAGGGGTTGGAAAATAAAGATTCATCAGTCATAAAGATCAACAACAACTAAATCATCAAAGCACATTGTAGTAGCAAGAAAAACACTTTATACATAGATAAAGAACGAAATAACTAAAATACAATTCAACAAAAAAGAACCGAAACGACAAAATGGAATGATTTGAAATGTTTATCAAAACGACGATGATGATGACGACAATGTTATGCAAGATGTATTTAATTAACTTTAAGAAAAGTTCGTTTTACACTTTTTCATTTCATTTGTAATCTGATGTATATTTACCAATTGATTACGTATAGGCATATTTTTGTAGGGACTTTGTGTCATCACTTTTTGAAAACGATGGTAATGTTGAATAAGTTGAGCAAGTAAACTCTATAAAAAGAGTAAATTTATTGATACTAAACATAATAAGATTTTATGGTTGAAACATTTTAAAAGGGATATTAAAACTCCGTAGTCAGTTCTCACCTGCATGTACCGCGGATCTTTTAAATACTCATCAAAGTTACTTATCAATATGAAAAACGGTACGATCAATAAAAATTATCAAATAGGTGTTTATCTCACAGCAGCGACACGTAGTACAAGTGTGAACAACGCTACCAACTGATAGGTTCCAATTAAACAAATGATCCAGGTGAGAAGCAATCGCTTATATATCAAACTGCATACATTATGTTTAACAGATAGGCTACAGAAGATTATAGCTATATGTGGTCATAACTAAATGATTACATTATATAATTTACAGTTCATTAAACCAGTAGGTTGAATGGATGCAGATTCTCGACGAAGCCAACAATCACTGTGAGTCCCAACTGTTTTTTACGAAAACCCTATAAAGTATGTATTTACAATTTCTTGCAACAGACGAATGTTTGGATTTTCGCAGATTCCTGGGATTCTAACACTATACCGAACACAGAAAGTATAGATTCAAAATCTATTACTAATCGAGAATGTGATTATCATCCTAATGTGAATAATTATTTTATATCTAGTATCAATCAACAGGGGTAATTGAAAGAATAAAACTAGATTTTATGAGGTAGTGAAATTTCTAATTGAACTGATAAGTATAAATTATTTGAATATACAGCTGGCGCAAGTGTATGAACAGTCAACAATGAAAGCACACATTACAGTACAAGGATATGATGGATTTATTATTATTTATTTATTTGAACACATGAATATTGGTACAAGAGGGCACCAAATATACATGCACCACACAAAACTATGAGAATAAGAAAAGAAAAAAAGGTAAGGAGCGTAAAGGAGAAAAAAGAACAATAACGACCAGACTAGTGTAAGGTAGTGAAATAATAATAATAATAATAATAATAATAATAATAATAATAATAATAATAATAGTAATAATGGGGGAAACGGAAAGGTACAATCAGAAGAAATCTTTCAGTTAAGGAAGATACAACCACTTTTTATGAAGAAAGTAAAAGAAGGTTACAGCAGGATCGCCACTGGCTTCTATTCTGAGCCATATCTGGTAACGTCTCTAGCCACTGTATTGTACCATCTCTCGGACCCCAACCAGGGAGTCGTGAAGGACCAACACAAGCCACCCCTTTGCAGCTTTCTTTCATACCACGACACCACGTCATACACCGACCACCTCTCCGCCTTTTCCAACCAGTCCCAGAGTCGGCAAATAATGCACGACGTGGAATTCTCTTGGACGACATTTGTAGAACATGTCCAAGTCACCGAAGTTGATGTTTCAAGATGGTGACACCAATTGAATTATCGTCGCCGTGCTCCGACACACAATGCTGAACCTATGAATTACTAACATGGTGTTGCCACTGAATGTCAGCAATCCTTCGGAGACAACGATGATCGAACACAGAGAGTCGACTAGCATCCTCAACTCGGAGGCCAGATTTCACACGCATAGAGCAGAACTGCTCTCACCGACGCGTTGTAGATCCGAACGTTTACAGCCAGACTGACATCACGAAGGCGCCAAAGATGGCCCAGATTTGCATAAGCCGCTCTGGCTTTCACTATACGTGCATTGACCTCATCACTCACGCCACCAACAGCACTTATGCAGCTACCCAGATACACGAACTTCTCGACTACTTCTATCTGCTCACCATCCAGGGTGAGCACAGGATTAGGATCCTGCCAGTCTTGTAGAAGTACTTTGCGATTCGAAGGTGCAAAGCACATGCCATAACTACGGACACTGATTGCCAACTGATTAAATGCAGATTGCATGCCTTGGGCATTATCGCACAGTAAGACAATATCATCTGCATACTCAAGGTCGAGAAGTCTTTCTCCAGGCAACAGATCCACACTGCCATTACTTACATTCATCACAGCTGTTTCCAGAATGTCATCGATGGCAAAGTTGAAGAGGAATGGTGAGATTGGGCAACCCTGCCTAACCCCACTGCTCGAATCGAACAATGGAGAGAGGTGGTTGTATGCCCTCACTCTACCTGAGGTGTTTGTATATAGCGCTTTTAAGATGTTATTAAACTTCTCAGGCACACCCTTTTAAAGATAGGGACAACTATCGACTCATTCCATGACGTTGGTACGCTCTCTAGTTCCCAGACCTTTGTAAACGACACATTCAGTTCCTTAGTCAGAAAGTCACCACCATCTTTAAAAGGAGCCTGAGGTAAGCCATCTGGGCCCGATCATTTGTAGCGTTTCAAGAGTTGGAGTTTTTTGCGGACTTCCGCCTCATCTGGTGGATCAGTCGACACCGGCCATGGAGGGCAGGACAGTCTGACCGATGTTGCCGGAGCAACAGGCCAGTTGAACTTCCCTTCGAAGAATTCTGCCCATCGTCTAACACGTCGATGGATGTTAGTGATTGGCATCCCGTCATCTTCACAGATTGTTTTGCTCACACCAGACTTCGTGTTGCCAGTGGCTCGGATGAGTCTTGAATACGGGTCTCGGATAGACAACAAACGTCAATATTAAGACTTTCCAAAGACATAGCCAGCCCTATCTGTTGTCCAACCTGCATAAGTATGCGAACGTTGAAGGCAGCCAGTTTGAATGGTGCACGTGGTTTCAGAAAAACTGCTTCAGTACTCATATTCGGTGGTACATACAGTTTTCAACCAGGCAGTGACTCGAGAACGTTTAGATAGAGCCGAATTTCCACCATAGACGAGCTGCTGTATAAGTCGAGAAATAAGGACAGACAGAGCGGAAATAAAAGGGAGTGGACAAATGACGTAGTAATTAATAATAATAATAATAATAATAATAATAATAATGTGAATTGTTTGACTATAAATCGAAGCGGGAATAGAGTTTTCAGTAAATATCGACATCTCATCATATTTGTGTGTGGGCTGTGATACGGCCCAGGTGCCCAGACCGAAGCAGGTGGTTTTCATAGGGGGCCACAACCCGAGCCTTTGACCTAGAGGTCTGACCCACAAGGAAGTGGAGCATCGTGAGGAGATACAGTCCCATGATAGCCAGTGACTAACGATTGGTTCATACGCCATTTGTTCCCGCAGGAAACTGGAGCCCATGTGCACCATTGGTTTGGAATCCGGTTAAAGCGCCGGACATTCGCTTTTCGTCTTCTCATTTTCGTAGACAACACCCTCGCCACGAGAAGGCAGTGAGTAGGACTTCTCTGGCAGAGGCTGTATACGCGTGGCCGTGTGAAAGCATTTCGAGAGGGGGCGGGCTAGCCCCACTCTCGGTCATACCAGGGCATTCGGGGCTGATAATCAAACATGTTTAAATATTTGCGAAGTTTTGAAAGGAATACACAAAATAGGGACATAAAATGATACAGCCACATATGCAAATAGTTTAAAGATACTCAATTAAACATGCAAACAAAAATAGAAGGGAGAATCATAAATTTAGTCATAAATGTAGGCTCACAAAATAAAGTAATACTAACCTGAAATATTTGTGTCCCCAAGGTAAAATTGGCAAACTCCATCATGATTTCATCATGTATTTTTTCAATCGAATTCTTCCAATCAATATTGAAGCCCTTCACTATTCGTGTTACCCGAGCTGATGAGAAATAGAGGTGTGAAGGTATAAAATGAAATAACTACAAACTAAACCTACAAAATATCACTATTCACCATGAAATTAACATAGCGCACTGTTTACCATATTGTTTAGCAATAAAAATAACTCAAGTATTGTTCAGTGTAATACATTATCTTTCTCGGTTGTAAGACATTTTGACGTAGTGATAATTAAAAAATATATGTATTTCAAGATATGCTTTGATAAGATACTAAAATAACTAGTTTATAATTCAGTCTTCAAAAGATCCTCAAGTATTCAAACTACTATAAACTACAACACTACTTCGAATCTCAGTGGTGCATCATGAGAGATGTTTCCGAATGAATCTTCAACCAAATAACTGATTGATACCATTTGGTGGGACTTTGCAAATGACCTAGCTCTTCTATCCCATACACACACAAAATGAAGATGAAGACAACTAGTGCAGCAGCAACCTCTACATCAGTAGGGGTCAACATACACAAGTGAAAAAGCGAAATTCGCAAATACAACACGGAGAACACCAACCCAATCACATTAAGTGGAGCTCTGGAAGAGGTGGGATCTCCCATGTACCTGGGAAAGATCATCAACGAACAAGGAGGATCAGATGCAGACGTAAAGGTGAGGATTGGCAAATCAAGGTCACTTTCCTACAACTGAAGAACATATGGAACTCAAAACAACTGTCAACCAATATCACAGTCACAATCTTCAATACGAACGTCAAGACAGTTCTACTGTAGGGAACTGAAACGTGGAGAACTACTATAGCCATAATTAAACACATACAAGTATTTATAAACAGTTGTTTATGCAAGATACTCAATATCCGTTCACCGGATACAATCAGCAACAGCCTATTGTGGCAGAGAAGAAATTAGTTCCCATCTGAAGAGGAAATTAGGAAAAGACTCTGGAAGTGGATAGGATATACATTACGGAAATCACCAAACTGCATCACGACACAAGCGCTAACTTGGATTCCTGAAGGGAAACGGAAAAGTGGAAGACCAAAGAACAAACTGCATTGGGAATCGGAAGCAGACATGAGAAGGATGAATAGAAACTGGAGGCAACTAGAAAATATTTCCGAATACAGGGTTAGATGGGGAATGCTGGTGGGCGGTTTATCCTTCTCTATGAGGGGTTACAGATGTAAGTGACTATTTAGCTGAAAACTTATCAGTCGGCTTTACTACATTAACACGAACGATAATATTTAGGACCGAAGACAATATATGGCTTGTACAGCGGTATTTTTGTGACATCAAATCACGTTGACCGCCTGCTTTGAAGTCAAATAACAATTAGATTAATCCACGATAGGTAGTAGACTAGGATTATTTTAAGCACTTATGGTTCATCCAAAATCCGTTATTGAGAAATTGAGTCACATTTTTGTTATGTCCCTTAACAAAGAAGGAAAAAGACTTTTGCAAGTTGAATTGCTTTATTTCTCTTAAGTTACTGAAGTGAAGTTAGTTTGTTTCAATTAGAAAATGTCAAACAAGTAAAACCACTGTATTTACCCTAGAATAACATTTTATTACTGGGACCTAAATGAAACCTTGATACGCATTTTTTGTAACTAAACCCAATAAAGTTAAATACATAAGCATTCACTATTTCTCGAAAGAAACAACCTGAATGAAGGCAAATGACATCATAGTGTCCTTAAACTATAATGCCTACGATTATTTTGAACAATGCAAAATGAAATTTGATAAATGGGAATCAAGAATATATTTCTACTGCTACAATAACTTGACTATAAAGACCACAAATCAATTATCATCGATGTAAACATGATAACTAATACTGTTCTTCAACTAAAGAAAGTAGCAGGGATAGAAAACATAGGTTTATTAAAAAATGTATCATATAACTGCAGACACCGTACTGTTAAGCTGCTAACGTATCCATTAACACTCCACACTTTTTTACATGTGATCACTGTTATCGAATGTGGAAAGAGTTCGTTCTTCCTTTCATCTTCTATTCACAAATCTCATATATAAGTGTTACTATGCAAGTGAGAGAAATTGGATGATAAAGAAAGCACAAGAAAACTTACCAGTTAATCCTTACATAAAACAAGATTTATTAAGATCTACAGACTGTTCCTTAATATTTGAATAATTTCATCAATTTACACTTCACCACTTCATTTACATTCATGTTAATACTAATTACAGAATCATTCTCACAGTTGATGATGAAGTCAAAAAAGAATAGTGAATAAGAAGTGCATGCAATTTAGGAGACACAATACTTTACTTTATCATTATTTTTAATCTTTGAGTAACAAATTAGAAACATGCGATAATATACTGCTATTTACAGCTAGAGTGATCCAGAATTTTAAACGGCCAACTTTAGTTTCTATATGCAGTCGAGCAAAATAATATCTAAGACAGCCTATGATTATAAATTTTGTCTCAGAGAGATTTAATAGAGTTGAAAGAAAATCTAGAATCAATAAAGATTCTTTCAAGTACATAGATACCACGATAACCATAGATAACGTTATTTTAACAATGAATGACAGTATAATACCTTCCTCACTACGAATATTTTGGGTCACTTCGTCTTGATTTTTCGACAGATGATGACTTTCACTAGTTGATCTGGCTTCGACATCGCGAACAAAAGATATCAGACAACCAAAATAAGGTGACAAGGCTTCATCGATATATGATGTCATATGCTTCGCTACAGCTTCACGACATCGAACAACCTCGGAAGAATCAGCAGCTCCATGTTCCTACACAATAAATAAAGTGTTCAAACAAGCAAATAAAACAAATGAATATATATAAGAACCAATAATTTAAACTTTTATGCACATCTATAAAACTTACAGTTAGTACACTTATGACCAAATCATAATTGTTGATTAGAAATATGTGTGCTAATTTTGGACGTGAAAATGTTTTGGCTAGAGAATTCAGTACATGTTCGAATTGATTTTGCAATTGAGCCAAACGACTAAGGATACGAGGATCTAAAGCAGGCTTCAAATTTGCAAGATTTTGTTGAAATGTTGGTTCATTGTGTAAAGAGCATTGTAAATTTGAACTCTCTGAACTCTTAGATTTACTCATACTGTCATCAAAAAGTGGAGCTGTGGAGTAAAATGAAATTTTACAGAAAAATTTACAATTAATTTTTTAAACAGCAGACACATACTCATGCATTTCTAAGTCATAACAGGAATAACCTATGTAAGAATAATGAAAATCATGTGTAGTGTCGGCATATATATATGCTCAGCTATGAGGTTCACTTTTTGTGACAACTAGCGAATTGCTGAAATAGGTAGAAAGGGGTTTGGATATGTGGTCGAAGGGTTGGAAGTGAAGGTTTTTAGCCACTAATCCACAATATTTGGAAAAACGTACTTATGATTAAGTAGATGATACAAATTGTTGTATGGTCTGTTAAACGTATATAGAAACGGTTGATACCAAAATTAGATAACTAATTAGTAATAATAGTCATATTCAATACTATAAGTTTTGGTACAGTAAAGATTCCTCAGCATCAATTGTATAATGTTACGACAAATATTTATTCCTAGTATAGGGGTTGTGGAGATTATTAAGTTTTTGATTGAGATCATGAACCGATTGATGTTAGACCACCACAATTGAAAACCTGGAAGCACTGGACGGCCGTTTCGTCCTATTGTGGGACTCCTCAGCAGTGCGCATCCACGATCCCGCGAGCAGGATTCGAACCCAGGGCCTTCGGTCTCGCGCGCGAACGCTTAACCAACTGGATCACTGAGCCGGCATCCAATGGTGATAGTTTCTAACATCAACTAATCCACGAAATTGCGCGACCAACTTCCGTTGTACTGAGGTAGATACCTGTCTCTACCCGACAAGGATTAGCGCACTGCTGAGGAGTCCCACAATAGGACGAAACGGCCGTCCAGTGCTTCCAGGTTTTCAATTGTGGTGGTCTAACATCAATCGGTTCATGATCTCAATCAAATATTTATTCAACGCACATTCAAATTTAAATTGTTCGAACCACATTTTAAAAATGTTTTATATAGTTAGTATCTTTCAACCCTGTTCAATCAGCAAAGCTGCTACAACTATTTTCTCATCCACATATACAAGGTGTTTGTTTCTAAATACATTTGTGTCTTGTTTGTTAAAGGATAGATAAAAAGAGAAATAAAGCAAGAACTGTAGTGTTTCTGTTTGAGTTTTCCAGTACTTAGTATCACAAGTTTGTAATCCTCTTATGGTACAATGTGAGAACGTATAGTTGCCATTTATAATTATTCAATTCGAACAAATAAGCAGTTCATTTGCAATATTTGCACCGTTAGAAAATAAATATGTCAAATGTTTAAGCAGGCCACTGTATGTATTGATGGCTAACGTTGCAGTTTCATTACAACGAATAACAATTGTAAAAAAGCTAAATCGGTAATAAGTTGGTTTTTATTAGTTTACCTTATTTGTTCTGGATGTACAGATAACAAACAAATAATCGAATAATAAACAACATTTCTCAAATCGTATTTAAAAACAAGTTTACAAGTTAGTACATCCGTATTCTATCCTAACGCTACATATCTTTAAACAATGTCTAGTTAGAGATTTAAGTTTGTAACATACCACAAGTCAGTAACAATTCGATTAAAGAATTATAAATAACACCTTCTACTTAAAAGCATCGATACTACTAAACTCCTTAATCTGTGATGTATAATATAAATATTGAACTTATGAGTTCAACACCGTGAGTAGATTTCTATGGGAGTAATGTATAGTTCGACAACAGGGAGCCATTTAACTCATCTCCACAGCTACATGGTTAGAAATGGATTTGAAACAGAACGAAAGAGATGAGAAATAAGTTGGACAGTGACGTAGAAAGGAATGATTTTTATCACTGTGGTTTTATTATTGTAACACCTATGTAAAGATTTCCTTTATCTCCTGAAAAAAGGTAGAACAAAACACTTCTAAAGTAAACAAAACGATAAGTTTGAGGAATAAAAGAAGCTAAGTTTCTGAGTATTAATAACACTATCAATAAGAGCACACTTACTACCAGGGAATTGATGTCCGATTGAATGTAGGCTAGCAGCTAATTCAGCATAACGTCTGGCTATCCAATGAGGACGAATAAGAGCATACATTTTAGGGTGTAAACTGACAGTGGTATTTCCGGTAGCATTTGTAGGTATATTGACATTTAGGGTGGATAAATTGGACTTCATAATATCACGAGCATCTGTACTAAAACTGCTGACATCCAAATACTGCAGCATGGATGCTATATGTACATCCAGTCTATCAGTAACACGTACCCACAAAGTCTCAGTCATTTTACCCCAAAAACTATTAGTGAGCAAAATGGCACAAAAATCAATTATCTAAGAGGAATCAAATCTACAATATAAATATCAGATATTCTACGGGAATCAGATTTTACTGTTGATTTTACATTGATAAACACAAAACATCTGAAAATTATCCAAAAATTTAATCCAAATGTTTACTTTAGCTTTTAGGATTATACCTTCATTACTGAACTCGATCGATCAAAAACCTAGACACTTTAATTAATTCGAATAGTGAACGAAAGAGAAATATTTGGTCTCTGAATCATTTAAGTATGTTTTTCCACATTCTAAATGTAATTTTCACATACTTGTCCTCAGAGGTTTTTGGGTAACTAATTTGATTAATAGTTCCCATTGCTTACCATCTCATTTTAACTGAAGGTTAATCCGGTAACATATAATTATGAGCACACAAACAATCCCATCCAAGCTGAATTTTTGATATCGAAACATGTACGCCATTTTACATTACCCAACCCATAGCATTTACGAAGTGAGAGAGATATCCAGTTGCTTACCAACAGAAACTTGGTGAAAACGTCTACGACTAATAAAAAAATATTTTTCGTGATATCCCAATGAGTAGAAAATTGTATTTTTGGTGTTACGTGACTTAATTTAAATCACTTCTTCAGAGTAAATAAATAACCGAAATAAAATTAACACAAGCATAATTAGTACAACAAAATATATTCGTTATTAAGTTGATAACCAAGGCTCTATTTGAAACTATCAAATCTAACATTGGCATTGACACCTTCTACAAATGTTACATACAGCTACCCAAAATGGATGTTATCGGTAGGCTAAACATATTTCATCGTGTTTTTGCAGAAATTTCATCTTTTGAGGTAACCACCATCAACTTTCTTAAATTCACACAAGACCAACACCTGAGGAAACCAACGAGAATACAGGACTGTGTATCTGAAGATCAAGTCTTAGTTATCTCGAAAAGAAACACGGGCAAGGATGGATGAAATAATCAATAAAGGGAAGTCATTCATGTGATAAATGACTGCTGCGTAGTGGAGTTGTTGAGTCCCTAGTTTTTATGCTTCATATTTAATAAATCATTGGTTGAAAGATACACTTAGCATATCCCAAAAATGATTGCAGTTTCGCAAACGGATACCTCCATTTAAATATAAGAGAATACTATCACACTGAATTTAGGCGATATGAGAATCAAGGCAGAGAAATTTTACGAAATGTATGGTGCAAAAACTGATTTAGAACTGCGAAAAAAATAAATGCATAATCTTTAAAACTTACTCATCCAACACAGGTACCCCTCTCTCTTTAGCCAGACGAAGCAAAGCATGTAAAAGCTGGAGACAAATTAATAAACCGATTGCATCATGAGAACAAGAAGAAATCATGAAAGTCCCAGTAAATTTATGTATCCAACTTAAACTACGACTCATAACTTGCTCGAATAAATGAGCTAAGGCTACACCACTTTGAGTTCGACCTTGATTGGGTGTACTTTGATCACAAGATGGCGGTGAATCAACAGACTCAGTTTCCGTGCTAAGAAGGAAGAAATCTGACAGAAAATAATATTCTCGACATGCAGTATCCAGAAGCGCGTAGTGAATGGAACGAAATAAAACTTCAATAGGGTACTACATGGGAAATAAAGGGTTTGGAAAGTAAAACAAAAGTAAAATCTTATATAAACTGATCACTAAACTCTGTACAACAGAAAAAAACCTTCAAGACTATACAGTGATAAATGTCTATTGCGGGTCGTTATTTAAAATCAAAAGATACTGTCCTAAATTATTGTGGGAAATCCTTATGAAAACTACCTAGCGTTCAAAACAAGAATAGTTTAACAATCACGTCTGAATGACTTGTCGCTAATTTTGGCAACTCTTCTTGAAAAGTCAACAGAAATGAACTTGAAGTCCATAATAAAGTTTTATTCTCAAGACCCTAACATCCTTTCAAGTTTAGTATTAGGTTGGTGAGAATTGATTCCAGTCCTCTACGAAAATCTTTATACCATACACTGTGTGAGAGCTTTAATATCAGTCACTGAAGTACAAATTAAAACAGTTAAGTCTCAATTTCAGAGACTGATGTGACGAAAAAAATAAATAGATTTCCTGTTCGCTATTTTTGAGGCCCTGGATGACCGAACCGTAATACAGGGGAGCAGTTATACCGATCTAATCCGAGTATTAATTAGTTAGCCTAGACTGTCTATCTAGTACTGATGACCGGCTAACAAATGACATGATGATAATGAAAGAACAACCAAGAGAAATGTCTGGCGAAAATCGGCCCAGAATAGTTTTCCACGCCCGCTTCCTCGATAGTTAGAATAGGACACAATTTATTAAGCAAGTAACTTCTAATTAAAAAGTTCCAATTTGCATACAATAAAATAAAGGCCGGACTACATATCAACATAATTAAGAAATCATGATATGGGTATAACTACGTAGTAAAAGGAAGAAGACTGAGTGATAAGTTCGTAGTAAATTAACAATAACTTGGGAAGGGAAAACACGCAACAATAGTTTATGTATCAAACAAAAGCTTACAGGCACGGAGACATAAAAATACAATAATAATAATTACACAACAAATTATGAACATTAACTTCAGATGAGACCGTTGTGAAAGTTCTGATGTGCTTAATGTTAATCCCAACAGAGCAGAGACAACAAAATGCAAACTCGTAATCAGTATGACTGTGAATCAATTTCAACCCATATTTCAGTATTTTCTTTTGGAAAACCAAGGTGGAAGTGTATTATTTACTTGCTTGCTTACGCTTGTGTACTCCTCGTGAAGGAGTATAGGTTGCCTGCCAGCATTTGTAGTGGCTCAGCTTCGTTAATCAGTCAACTTTAAAACCGTTATTATATAAATCCTAACGGTGTTTGAAATCAGAAGTCAATAAGAAGCGGTGACTAGTTTATTAGTGGATAGCACAGACAACAAAATTACAAGCACATGGAGCGACTCCGAGCAGAGAAGTTAATGAGTGTACGAGAGAACACAAAGGCGAATTTATGGTCAAATCACATAAGTGCACAGCAAGGCAAGGCAAAGGTTAATAATAGGATTCGAGTACATATATACATGGGAAAGAGAATGACTCATAGAGCGATATTTAAGGTATTAACATTTTAGTTAGAGATATGTGAGTAAGCTATCACATGTGCTCAAGCGTACATGTTTATACAGACATGATAGTGACCACAATAGTACAAAGAAATAGACGAACGTTTAGCATCAGAATAACATTATCTGTTAAGTAAGTTAGTAAAAGGGCTTAACCAAAATTAACTATAATCGAAATCGGTTGTAGGAGAGTTGCTATAATTCTTCGGTCTTCCACTTTTCCGTTTCCCTTCAGGATTCCAAGTTTGGTCTTGCCTCGTCATGCAGTTTGATGATTTCTGTAATGTATGTCCTGTCCACTTCCAGAGTCTTTTCCTAATTTCCTCTTCAGATAGGAACTGATTTCATCTCTCCCACAGTAGGCTACTGCGAATGGTAATCGGCCAACGGATATTGAGTATCTTGCGTAGACAACTGTTCATAAATACTTGTACCTTTTTGATTATGGAAATGTATTAGCACATTCAAAATCAAGAAATCAGAAAATTATACTGATTCACTTACTTTAGCATCCACGTTGCTGGCCACATGTGGTAAAATAATAGCACTTTCTAGATTCGATTTACCAAGTACACGAAGTGCACGATCACTTAATCCAAAAAGTCCAACACGTGTTCCAGAATTAGAAGACACTGATACGGTTGGATTATTAGTAACATTAGTAATTGAATTGAACATCAGACTGGATGTAGATGATGCAGAATTGTATTTATCTGGATTTTTCCCTAATAAATCATCTTTTTCATAAGTTGTATCAAGCTACATTAACGAGAGAAAAGAGAACAGAATTGTAACATTTTTATGAAAAATTATAAATCATGCAAAATTTAATTAGATGGAATCTACAGAGATGGGTTTCGTAGGTTGATTACTGGGATTGTAACCACGTGATTGTACGTGGTAATTGTTGTGACTTTAAGCCCGGCTAATTACCATGTGACTTATTCGCCAATCAGAATACGACTCATACAATCTTAGCACCGTGCCAAACCAACGACGTTCAACCAGTATGAGCAGCCCAGCGTCTTTATTGGTCCTTTTCCATCCTAGCCCTGCCAATTGAGTCCAGAATATCAATAATAGCTTCTACTATACTAACCAGTTATTTCAAACATACGTGGTATATATACAGGCCAAACGGCCCACATCACATCATAAAACAGAAAATAACATTTGTACAAGATCAAGCCAAAAAGTGGCTGTGATCGTAGGAGACTGTAATCAACAAACTAAGTATAATTTAAGAATAGTAAACCGTATCATAATAGTCCATAGGTCAAAATAAAGCTTATAATAAAAGGAATATAGATATACACAATCTAGTTACTAAATAGTTGCACAATAAGAATATATATATTAGTCCATTAATGGTTCTCAGAAGTCACCCGCAATTTAATCTTCACTAGGATATAATAATAATAATTATTATTATTATTACTATTATTATTATTGGCAGTTGAGTGCATTTCTTACTGATTTCTGAGTTACATTGAACAAGAGAATTATTTACAATTAAAATAATAACTTACTATTATGAAGACGTATATTCACTGCATATTGGACGAAAGATTTTTTGTGAGTGAGAGACGGTTCCGATTAAAAAAGGGGGATTTAAACATACTACTCATACTATTTGTATATAAATTTAGGTTTATTTAAGAAACCCACGTATCTGATTTTCTCTTCCAAACAATTTATACCTTCTCCTCTTACAAATTATCTTTATAACGATATATTCTTTTGTATAGTTGTAAACGCTGATAACACCCAATTAATTAACCTAGTACTTCAAATCAGATATATATTTAACAATCTCAATATTATTTGCTAAAATCAGATACACACTGATCATGATGTACTATTTTTTCCTTTCATAAGAACATACAATAAACTAGATTATTATCATTAAGCACTATTATACTGGTGTTAACTACAACTAAGACAAAAATATCACTGAGGCAAACCCGTCATTTAAGGCACAAAATTTGAAACGATACATTTTTCCATGAAAAATAATAAAGTAGAACGGAATTACAAATGTATGAAGTTAAGCTTTAGTAAAACTTAGTGACTAACTTGTAATTTGGTTAATTTACCACCATAAGCTTTAAAATAGGCGTAGTAAACTTTACTCATCGTATTGATATACTCCACCCTAACTTCTTTAGCTGTCTCTCGATCATGAGCTAAGAGGAACGAATTGTAAAATCTGGATACAAAGGAAGAAAACACCAATAGAAATGTTGAAATATGACTTGAAAAATATAACCAGTTATATGCATCAGGTAGCAACACATGTCGGAATTTTCGCACTTCAAAAATAAGTTTCTTATGTTACTATTACCCTTAAATTCTACATTTCTTCAACTTGTATAATTTAACTCAGGTCAGTCAGATTGAAAACAATTGAATCTTGACGTAACATTTATTCACAAACGGACCGATTAAATTACAAAAGTAAAAGTATATACCAGTTCTAAATTGATTGTTCATGTCTCGAAGCACATAGAACGGCAATAATGTGATCCGCAAGAACACAAATTATTTTCAACAGATCCATGCTGTAACTGGAATGGTGAAACAACTATCACTTCGAAAATAATATTTCGCTCTAGGACAATTCTTCTAGCTATTAAATGGGACTGTTTGTATCGTTAATCTGTAGTAAGTAATATTCAATCTAAGTGAAACGAATTATTCTTTTAAATGGCTTCGAAGAGCGTAAGACGTTCTTGACCTCTTAAAACTCATTCTAAGGACATATTGTTTGTTTTTCGGAGGGTTTGGTGTAATAAGAAAGACTTGTGGAAATGTTGAATAACCAAGAGCTGTTTTTTGTACTCGGCTTTGAATCACATTCTTTGTGTGCGAAGTAATTGTTCTGCTCAGCTGATAAAACTGAAGTGAAACATGGTCCAAACCTGTGATCAAGTAATTGAGTTGTTATTTATTATTTATTTTATTTGAGCACATAAATATTGGTACAAGGAAGCACCAAATATATATGCGCCACACGAGTTGAGTTGAACCCCTTATGTTACGCAGTAGACATCGTTTGGTATGGTTAATAAAATGAAACAGTTGACAAATAAACAACATAAGCAGCCCCAACCAAAATCAATGATTAATTTTTGTCACCTGTATTGACTGACAATCCGAAATATATGAACTGGTTTGCATATGCGTTTTTCGACAACATAAGTGTACGCTCTTACGAAGTAATGTGCTAGTCAATTTGATAGAGCGTATCATTCGATTGGCATTAGAAAGCAATTTGCTTTGATATTAGGTTTCATACAAAAAATATGTTACCTCAACGATGAACGTACTAACAGAAGTACCAACATCATGATAATTTAAAGGAATATTTAGACGGTCAAAAGTATACATGGTATTTGACGACACTACGTCTACAAAAATTCCTTTCTGTTGTCAAATAATCAATAGACAATTTGATTTAACCATCAACATTTTATGCATGCTATACGTAATTAATACTTATTATTTGTTGATAACTCGAGACTTACAACTAAAAACATATCACACCTGAAATACTTACCGAAATTTCAGCATTTGGTTTTGAGGAACTTGATAATTTGTAAGTGGCTTACGTAAGGAGTATATTTTACCCAACAGAAATTCCCGGATTTTTGTAACAGCCTAAAGTTAAATTGAAATGAAATAACGTAATAACTGATAGCAGAAGTGAACAAAATATAAAATTTATGGATGACTACTACATATGAAGACAAATAGACAGTTGTTATTTGAGGTAGGTAGGCCCGACCGTTGCTGCTACCTTGACGTGGTGGTCGAGATTGCCTATCGTGACGAATCAATCAACCTATACTGGCTGAAACACTCGCTCCTCAAGTTCCTAACATGCCAGACAGGTCGGTTGAAGAGCAGCAAGACTAAAAGCAGTAAACCCAAGGTTTGAGGGCGACGTCGTACTGTTAACTGTACAGAGGAGTGACGGCAGTAAGGTGTTTCCTTCAAAAAAATCATAACAGCAATGCTGCCTTCCCACAAGGAAGGGTGGGTTTACAAAACGTCGACCTTAAAACTGCACACCTAGCCTTATCCCATGGATATCCGTCTCCTGCAGTAATGTCTCAACAAGTACGGAGATAACCCGACAATTACTCACAAAAAGGTTGTGTTTGACCGACCCCAAGCAGTTGTCCCTTGGATACTGAGGTCACGCCCTCAGGTCACTAAGACCACCTCTAATCCAATTTCCTTTTCAGGTACCTCCAGAAGAACCCTTCCTCGGTGTGGGCAACCGAGAAGTGATAACCGCCCTCATACCTCTAACAGCACTCAAGACCACTGTATTCGTAATCAACCTTCCTCTTCAATTCCTATTATTCCTCCTACATCGGCTTTCACCTCTAAACTTCCTCTTTCAGCTTCCTCCTCAAGTATCACCATAGCCAACGATTCTAGTGCTCAAAACACTGTCCCAGGTCTACTGAAACCTCGCTCCACACTACACATTGGAGCCTTCAACGTACGCAACCTATGTCAAATCGGCCAGCAGGCCTCCTTGGCTAAAACCCTAGGATTTATTACCACTGATGTATGCTGTGTCTCCGAAACACACATACAGGATCCTAGTGTGGTCATTCAGTTGACCTCACCTCGCCAAAACGGAGAGCCAACGAGATACACCCTCCGTGTATCTGGTGACCCGACGGCCAGCTCTCGTGGACTGGCAGGAGTAGGGATGGCACTAAGTATGAGAGCGGAACAAGCATTGATAGAGTGGATCACCGTTAACAGTCGTTTATGTGCTGTTCGGCTAAACGGCTCCGTAAGAACTCGGAAGGATAGAGACACACGTCGTTGCCTTTTTGTCGTTTCTGCCTACGCTCCCACCGACTGCAGCTCAGATGAAATGAAAGATGAATTTTACAGAAAGCTAAACGTTCAGACATAGTACTCGCAGCAGGTGACTTTAATGCCCAGATAGATAGTTTAAACCAAACAGAAAGGCATTTAGGTGGGTATTTTAGTATTCCGGCACAACGAACAGATAATGGTGATCGTCTGCTGCAATTGTGCTCAGACAATCGTTTATTTTTTAGCAAACACAAATTTTAAGCATAAGGAGAGACATCGTCTAACATGGCAACCCCCTACACCAAACCAACGATGGACTCAAATAGACCATATTGCCATCAGTCATCGTTGGAGAGGCTCAATAGAAGACTGTAGCTCGTTCTCGAATACTTGTTTGGATGCCGATCATGCTCTAATATGAGCACACATATGCTTGCACCTCTATGGACGCAGGAAAACCACATTAAGGAGACCCATTAAAGCCAAAAGTAGATTCCAAGAACAACTGAGATCACACTTAGGCAGTTCTGAAAACGAGGCTGACCCAGATGTTGTTTGGAAAAATATACGAACAGCTGTGGAAACAGCAGTGACATCTGTTAGTGATTTGAACCAAATGGTCACGAAAAACCAGTGGATTTCCGCTACATCTGTTGCGCTGATAGACTCTTGTAAACTCAACCCATCAGGTTCCAAACACGATGAAGAGCAAAAACAAATCAGATCCAGGTTAACAAAAAGTCTGCGGAACGACCGTGAGCAGTGGTGGGCGGCAAAAGCAAAAGAAGATGGAAAATGTGGCGGCTGTAGGTATATAGCGACTCACGTGCAAATGGGTTTATTTTCATTTAACCCAGTTAAGCCCTTTTTGTTAACTTATTTAGCGGACAAAGCCATCCGCGCTATAACAATTTATTGTATCCTTATTATTATTTTGCGCTTGTATGAAATACGTATGCTTGAATATTGATTACTGCCTACGCATTTATTCACTCTGCTAGTCTTACTACTAACCGCTTATTCGATTCGATTACTCATTCATTTCACATGGTATATATATGTCCATTTTATTCATATTGAACTGAATCGCTCACTCGCTCGCACGGTCTCGTCACGCTCTTGCTCTGGCTCTCGTTCGCTTGCTTGCCTTTCGGCACAACTCTCCTATGCTTGTTTAACACATCTGTACATTTGGATATATGTGTGTGGTCTCGAAATAAACGTAATCAACGCTTCGTATTAGCCTTCTGAATAATATACCGTTGGGGTTGAATAGGACGGTTATCAAGACGAATTGTATACGAAGTTTAAGGGATATATCGAATACCGACCACCACATAATTGGCGATCCCGACGCGCGAACACGAAACAATCTTCAACGACATAACCCAATTCCTAAAATCTAACGTACTCGATTACAATTGTAACTATCATTTGGATTATAATTATAACTGTGGATTTATTATCTCATTATTTTAATTACACGTACATTATCTCACAAACATTATTGAACATAACGATAATATTCATAATAAACAACGATATTTTACAAACAATTGATATTTTGGTGCAATTTAGTAAGTCCGTTCTTTGTTATAAATTGTACCATTTGTTTTTATCATTGTTTTTATCGACTCACTTTTCTCTGTGACATTCGCATTATATTTGTGTAATTTTTTATCTTTATGAATATGTCTTTAAGTAACGATACAATAGAACTTTCCCAAACGCCGTCCGTGAGGTCCATTAATGTAACTATTCCTCCTTTTAAGGTCACAGATCCTCAACTTTGGTTTACCAGACTTGAACATTACTTTGTAGCTAATCGTGTTCATACACAGCGAGATAAATTTGGCCACGCGAGCTCGCTACTTCCAGATGAAGTAGCAGATAATGTACGAGAGATTTTAATCAAGCCAGACATAGAAAAGCCATACGACGCATTAAAACAGGCAGTGATTAAAGCCGTCTCATTAAGCGACCGGCAAGCCATCGAACAACTTCTCAGTCAAGTGCAGATAGGAGATAGGACTCCATCTCAACTAAAAAACTATATGAGAAGCATAATCGATGACAGAAAAGTAGATAAAAACATATTTTATCAGTTGTGGTTACGACGACTTCCAGCGAACGTGCAGCAGATCCTTGCGGTTGAGGACAGCGATGTCGATATAGACAACATTGCTAAAATAGCCGATAGGATTTATGAGAGAATGAAACAAACGAGTCCGCAAAGGCATGGTACCACAGTAGATGGACGAATCGATGCATTACAAAAGGAGATTAATGTTTTATGCCACAAACTGACGAAACTAAGTCAGAGCGATACGCAAAGAGGATGGTCACAAAGTAGATTGAGGGAAAGAAGTCGATCACGTTCTAGGAGACGCTCAGCTCCTACAATATGTTGGTACCACCAAACTTTCGGCGATAAAGCTCGAAACTGTAGACCACCATGTAAGTTCAAACGACCACACCGATTGTCGATAACCGCCGCAACAACTACAACAGCTCCTAGAAACAGTCGTTTATTTTACGTGCAGGATAGAGTAACAGGCGCTCAATTCTTAGTCGATACGGGAGCAGAAGTAAGCGTCGTGCCTCCAGTAAGTAACGAAACACGAAATATCGATACAGCGCTAACGCTTAAGGCAGCAAATAAATCCGATATAAAAACATATGGCAAGCGAAAAGTAACCCTGAATTTTGGTCGTACTACCTCATTCCGCTGGGAATTCATTATCGCAGATGTATCCGTACCTATAATTGGTATTGATTTCTTAAAGAATTTCGACTTACTAGTGGATACCCGACGAAACCGGCTCGTGAACGGCGACCATTCAGTAGTGATAAGAGGAGTGACGACTGATCACACATCCATGAATTTAGTAGTGTCAAAAGACAAAAGCGAGCCATATAGATCGCTTCTAAACGAGTATGCCGATCTGACGAAGGTATCATACGATAACAGAGATCTTAAACATACGGTACAGCACCATATTATAACGAAAGGTCCACCGACTAAATCAAGACCACGAAGGCTAGACCCGAAAAGGTTGAATGTCGCGAAACGAGAGTTCGAAAAGTTGACGAAGCTTGGTATCATAAGACCTTCTAATAGTCCCTGGGCGTCCCCATTGCATATGGTTTCGAAGAAGAATGGGGAAATCAGGCCATGCGGAGACTATAGAGCCCTTAACAAGCAAACGATAGCAGACAGATATCCGATACCACATATCCACGACATTACTACCAATATGGAAGGTGCCACGATATTTTCGAAAATCGATCTCGTCCGAGCTTATTACCATATTCCCGTAGCGGCAGAAGATATATCTAAAACGGCTATAACTACTCCATTTGGGTTATTCGAGTTTTTGCGAATGCCCTTCGGATTAACTAATGCAGCCCAAACCTTCCAAAGATTCATCGATCAGGTCGTCAGGGGTTTGACAGGAGTTCACGCATATATCGATGATATACTAGTAGCTAGCGCTACCAGGGAAGAACATCTACAACATCTACGACAGTTGTTTACGAAACTTCAAGAACATGGCGTCACTATTAACGTGGAAAAGTGTGAATTTGGAAAGGAATCATTGCAATTCCTAGGTCATATGATAAATTCACATGGTATCATGCCAGTTCCGACAGAAGTTGCTGCTATTCGTAATTATCCATTGCCCGATTCACAAAGAAAATTACGACGATTCTTGGGGCTAATAAACTATTATAGACGATTTATCCCAAACTGCGCAGCAATATTACAGCCATTGACGGACGCCTTGCGAGGACATACTCGAACATTCCGTCTT